AAGCCAGAGACAGTGGCTGGGCCTCTCCACTTCAGGTCTTCCAGGGGTTAAAGTAGCTTAAGCCTGGGGACTGCTGACTCAGAGCCCGAGAGCTCATTGCAAGAAATCACTTGATCCAGTTAAGGTGACAGAGATTCTGAGAGCCAGTGATATATTTTAAAAGGAGGAATAAGGTGAAAAATCAGGATTATGAATAATTTTAAATATGCAGAAATCACAAGTAGTGTGGGGGAAAGGGAGATTTAGAATCACCTTCTGGGTCAAGCAGGGAACACAAACACCTGTAGGTGATGACATAATATAGCAGAGACATGACAGCAGAGTCTATCCTCCAGCCCCTTCCTATCACTGTCCCGTTTGCCATCTGGCTGCCGAAAGTCCTGTGTCATTAAACTCACATTTTGGGGGAACTCTGGGTTGGTATATAAGAAGATTGCCAGTAGGTTTAGGTACCTATGTAAAGAGATGTGGGTAGGTCTCAAAAGAGTTCATGTAGTACCACTGAGGTACACCTGTTTAAAATCCTAAGACAGGGTTATTCCTGTGTGTCACTGCCTTCTCTCTTATCTGTTCAGTTCCCCCTGAGGTTTGTTACAGAAAGAGAGAAAGTGCGCGTTAAGCATGCAGCACAGTGCCCAGATCACTCAGTAACTGTTAGGAACAACATGAGTAGCACCATACACAGGCAGTAGGCACCATACTTCCATTGAGATTGGGCTCTGGTGACCTCTCTTGCAGGAAGTCTCTCTTGACTAATCATCCACTGATTCATTTGCATGACTGCCTGTCAGACTGTGAACTCCTGGAGGGACTTACTCATCTGATTTCTGCTATCTAGCCCACAGTCCAGCATAGACCTGCCATTCATAAAAAGGCTAAATAACATTAAATTCTCTTTATCTTATTACTAAAAGTTTCCATAATCAGACATATGATGCTAATACTCACATATTTTCTACAATGAGTGTAATTTGACTAGAGAACGGTGGGTCAAGGTGGAAGAGGCTTACTGGGTACTGAGCACTGCAGGAGGGACAGAAGGGGAGCAAGGTAAGATCAGACAAGTAGTAACTCATACTGTGCTGTTGCTGGAGTTTCTTGTCCTGCCAGATTCTGCTTATCTTCAGCCTCAAATGAACACACGTAGATGCTGTATTAATTATAAAACTGTTGGCCAATGGCTAGGGCTTCTTACTTACTTCTGCCTTAATTATTAACCCATTTCTATTAATCTATATATTTCCATGTAGTCTTATCTTACTAGAGAAGGGTCCGGAACTGTTACTCCTTCCTCTGCTACATGGTGTCTCTTCGAGCACTCTTTGCCTCTCTCTCCAGCATTCTCATCTCCTAGCCCTGCCTATCTTCCTGCCTCTACTGCCTATTGGCCAAACAGTATTTTATTCATCAACCAATAAGAGAAACATATATACAGAAGGACATCCCCCATCACCGTGCTGGACAGTCTTGTGTCAACTTGACACAGGCTGGGGTCATCTGAGAAAAGAAAATGCCTCCATAAAATTGTGCTATTGTATGCTGGGCAGTGGTGGTGAATCTCAGCTCTCAGGAGGCAGAGGCACACAGTTCTTTGAGTTCTAAGCCAGCCTGGTCTACTGAGTGAGTTCCAGGACAGCCAGGGCTACACAGAGAAACCCTATCTTGAAAAATAAAAAACAAAACGAAGAGTCTGTAAGGCATTTTCTTAATTAGTGATTGATGGAAGAGGATCCAGACCATTGTGGATGGTGCCATTCTTGGTCTGGTGGTCCTGGATTCTATAAGAAAGCAGGCTGAGCAAATCAGTAAGCAGCACCTCTTCATGTCCTCTGCATCAGCTCCAGCCTCCAGGTTCCTGCCTGCTTGAGATCTTGCCTGCACTGCTTTTGATGACAAATTGTTATATGGAACTGTGAGTGATGAGATAAACCCTTTCCTTCCCACACTGATTTTGGTCATGGTGTTTGTTTCATCACAGCAATAGAAACCCTAACTAGATACACACCTAGACACAACCAGGAGGGAAGGTCTGAACTGGAACTCCAGTACCTTCCAACTCTAGAGATGTCAGGGCCTGAACTCTGAGGGGCAGCTATTGCTTACTACCTGGCAGAGGGAGAGAGATCAGGTCAAAACAGAGCTTCTCCCACAAAAATCTGTCTTAAAGAGCTAGATCTGCTTGAAAACAAGCAGAGAAAGGAGTAAGGAGAGACGGAACAACAAACCCAAAGACAATGTAGACATCAGAACAATGAGGTGGAGATGCTGAGGGCACCTGGTACTAGGCTGATACTGTGGCCACCTCCCTTAGGTGACCATATTTTGTTAAGTGGCATTTAGTACCTCTAATGACCTGTGCTGACACTAAGATGCTTATTCGCTTTGAAAGAACCTTGGCACAACCAGCACCAGCCCACAGGTGTTCTTGGCCAAGTCTAAAGAGGAGGTGATGGGATACAGTTCCTGAGGAGATCTGGAACCAGCAGGGACTTCATGAAGGCAGTGGAGAAGCTGACCTGAATGGCAGTGCAGCTGTTTCTAGGGTGCCTTGAATTTAGCAGCTATTTTTGGTCCCAAGAATCAACTTGGGTGGGCTGTGAAAAGCTAGCTACTGTTTCTTAACCCACCCCCTCTCTTAAGAAATTATCCTAAGACAATGACTAAGCATATCAGAGATGCCCTCTTTGTATCTGAGGCTGATCACCAAGTTGTTCCAACTCTCCTAAGAATTTGGCAGGATTACTTTCTTTGCCCTAGTTTGATTTGGTAGGATTCTGTGGTTAGTTCTGGACAGTGACTTGTAGGAAGTAAAGGGTTCTACTTCCAGACTGAGTAGTCAACTGTGAGTGTGGCCATGAGTATAGAGGTCAGAGGGCAATTATGTGGAGTTGGTTCTCTCCTTCTACCTTTTACATAGGTTTTAGGGATCCAAATTAGGTTGTGAGGCTTGTATGGTAAGAGCTACATTGCCTGCTCTCAACTGAAAATTTAAGACGCTTCAGAGGATACTTTACTCTCTGGCAAGCAATCAGCAACTGGGGACAGGGTAGGATGGAGGGAGAGGGTACTGTAAAGTTGGGATCTGCGTGCCCTTGATGAGCACAGCCTGCCCTTGTTCTGCAGCAACAGTGAACATTTGCACAAGGCAAAAATAAGTGATCAAACCACTGAAATTCTGGATGTTTACAGCAGCACAGTTCAGCTTTTCCTGATATATATGTAACAATATACCTGGTTGAACCTTAGGTTCAATATTTTTCTCTCCTGGAGCTTCATGGAGGTTTCAGTGAGGAAAATGCTAGTCCCAAGGTCATATAGGCAGAGTGATGACACTAGGGTAAGAACCCAAATCTTTGCTGTCCCAGACAGGCAGAGTATCTGCCACTAGGTGGGACCCGTCACATTGAATTATCTCTTCAAACAAGACAGTGTTGGAAAAAGCAAAGACGAGGGATTAGAAGCCTGGCATTCCAGGCTATGTCCCGCCACAAAACTCATCGGATACCCTTGTGGTCAAGTGTATTAGTTTCAGTTTTGACACTAACTCACTATGGGACAAAGGCAAGCTGCATCGTAACACTGGCTTTGTATCTCCAGGAGTAAAAACAAGTCAGCAGGTGCACATTTCAGAAATTTATATCCACATCTACTGCAGTGGCTGTAGCTGCATCTCAGCAGCTGCCAGGAGGGAAGAGTGTGCTGCACGGGCAACAGTCGGGCCATCGTCCCTTCAACCAGAACAGTTCCATTTCTTTCTAATTCATCTGTTTTGCTTTTGTAAGATTTCCCATCACAGGATCTGATGACTGTCCTGGTTCCTGCCAGGTCTGAGATTTGTGAGTCTGGTTCTTGGATTCTACCCAATTGCTCCCAAATTGTAAATTCGGTAGCTGGGCAAAGCAGGAGCCTTACTCTTAATTTTTTAGAGAGTTTGGAAGTTTGGTTGAGAAAATAACATTAGAATGGAGATGGTTCTTACTGAGATTGTGTGGAGGGTAAGGGTGAAGGAGTGACAATTGGAAAGGACACTGTAGGAGGCTGTAGGGTATGTGAGGCCCGAGGAACTTTTTTTCTCCCGGTTTTTTGATATAGGGTTTCTTTGTGTAACAGCCCTGGCTGAACTTGCTTTGTAGACTAGGCTGGCCTCGATCTCACAGATATCCATCTGCCTTTGCCCCCCAAGTACTTGGGAGTAAAGGTATGTGCCATCATCACTCAGCTAGAAACTAATATTTTACTCAAGACTTCATTTGGTTAGTACCTTCTGCTGAAAAGAAGCTGGGAGGTTGTCACCTTAAAAATAAATGTGACTGCTAATTCTCTGAAGCCAAATGGCTTGGGCCTCTTCCTCTCCATGTTTATGAAAGGAAATCTCCCTATTCTTGGTAAGACCAGAGCTGGATGTGAATCTAAATAGACAATAACCATTAAGGGTTGGCTGAATGATGCATGCCTGCAATCACAGCACTTTAGCCCGTCTACAGACAACAGACTGGCTAGAAAGAGAACACGACAAAGGTCAGAAAGCCAGGTCTTCTGGGATCATCCCTACATGGAAACACACACACACACACACACACACACACACACACACACACACACACACACACACACACCTCCTTGTGATCAACTACATTTGCTTTAGTCTTGATAACTTACTGTGGGAGTGCCAGCCTTGGCTATGTAGTAAGACCAGTTGCCAGAAAACAAAAGATCATTTAAGTGATTTTGGTGTGGAACCTGAAGTAACTGAAAAAGTGGAAGGTTATGAGCTGGAGAGGTCTTAGAGCACTGGCTGTTATTCCAGAGGACCTGGGTTCTGTTCCTGGCACCCATGTGGCTGCTAATAACTGTCTGAACCTCTTGTTCCAGGGGATCTAATGTCCTCTTCCAGGTACTGCATGCACATGATGCACACACACACACACACACACACCCTTAAAAAAAAAAAAAAAAAAAGAGTAGAAGGTTAAATGACACAGTCTCCTTTCTTTACTCACCTTGGTCTCAGAAGTTTTCAGAAGCTTCATAACTTCCCCTTCCCGGGCATAATCCAATGGTGTGTGTCCCATCTCATTCCTCTGAAGGGGGTTGGCTCCTGGCAGAAAGAAAAGGATAAATGTTCAGGGCTATATGAATGATTAGCAGGTCCTCAGTATTCACCTACTGGTAGCTTGGGAGCCTCAATTTCAGTATGAATTCTCATGGAAATTTATGAGATATCAAAATGACAGCAAAGCATATTAAGTTAATCTGGAAGAAGAGAATATGTGGCCCTCCCTGATGGAGGTCAGGCCTTCATATATATGTATATGCAGCTAAACATGCTAATAAAACTCAGCAAATAAATTCATAGATTTATACACCCAACATAAATGCCAACACATGTATTCACATATATACATACACAATACATTCATTAAAATGTTCACATTTTCCAACATAACTGCATATAAAGGAACACAAAGCCATATAAAGAGTTCCTTTCTAAAACAGAATAGCCTAAATAGGAACTGAAAGGCCCTGGCACTTGATATGTAGAGTAGCTTGCCTCAAACTCAAAGCAACCTTCCTATCTCAGCCTCCTAAATGGGATTACAGGTCAGCCAAGTCCTCTGGAAGGGTGTGGACATCTCAGGACTGTGGTTCTGCCCTGCTAGCTGATGACAAAGGTTAGCTTAGAGCCACGAGACTACCTTCTAAATGCTGACACAGAGCCGTCAGTGTATGGTGTGTACTTAGAAAGGCTTGAAATCACAAGGAAAGACTCCTCTCACCTCAGTGCTACCAGAATCTTATTGCCACAGCTCAGCTCTGGGCAACTCTCTTTCTAACCCTAACCAATGCCAGCTATCTTGTTTCTGTTTTTTGTTTTTCCAGGCAGGGTTTTTCTGTGATGGAACTAGCTCTGTAGACCAGGCTGGCCTCAAACTCACAGAGATCCTCTGTTTCCCAAGTGTGTGACATGGCAAATTTGCTGTTGTGGTTCTTTTTGTGCCAGCTATCTTACAAACTCTGAAGCAGTGGAACCTGAGGATAGAGGTAGCCTTGCTTCATGGGCTCGCCTTCCAATACTATCAGAAAGGAAGCCTAGCAGGCTTAGCTATGCACGAATGTCAGTGGCAGCACTTCCTACGCTCCTTTCTTACTAGAGAAATTTACAGAAGGGGCATTTAGTCTAGTTGCTGCCATAAGAACCTTACGAGGGTCCACGCAGCACAGGGCCTGGCTCAGAGTGCGATCACTGGGGAAAAGGAAGGGCAGAGGAAACTTTTAAGTAAGAAGAAATGAAATCAGGCATATACCTTTAGTGCCAGGACTTGGGAGACAGAGACAGGAGATCCAGGGTGGTTGAGGCTACATAGTGAGACGCTGTCTCAACAAAACAAATCAACAACAACCTCCCCTACTAAAATGAAAAATAAGATCATATGTAATCTTATTTTCAATTAGTATTAAATGTTCATGTATTTTATAAATATAGAATTCATATACCATAAAATTACTGTTCCCTCTTTATTTTTAAACAGTGCTAGGAGTAGGGCCTCATACATGCTAGGCAAGTGACCTACCATTGTGCCATCTTCCTAGGCCTAGGCCCCTAAAATGCCAATGCCTGGTACATGAAGAGGCCAGGAGAGCATGTCTGATCCCTTAGAACTGGCATTATGAACCACTGTGTGGATGCTAAGAATCAAACCCAGGTCCTTGGGAAGAACAGCCAATGTTCCTAACTGCTGAGCCATCTCTCCAGCCACAAACCAATTGTTTTAAAGTATAGCATTTGGTGTTTAATCTCAGGTTGTGTAACAATCAATACTATATAATTTACTCCTCTCCAGGGAGAAACCCCATATCCATTACAAAACAACAACAAACAAACAAAACCAAAATAAAAAAAATCCCACAATGGTTGACTCTCTCTTTCTCTCTCCCCCTCCCTATCTCTCTCAGGCAGGATTTCTCTGTAGCTTTGGAACTTGCGCTGTAGACCAGGCTGTCTTCAAACTCACAGAGACCTGCCTGACTGTCTCTTTTTAATGGGTATTTCATGTAACTGGAATTATGCAACATGTGACCATCAATGTATGGCTTTTTTCATGGCACATGTTTTCAAAGTTCCTTCATGTGGAAGCATGGTTGAATAATATTCTGTTCTGCAACATCACATTTTCTTATCTACTAACTGGTCACATGTATGAACTATTCCCCCCCCCCCCTTTGGCTGTTTGGAACATTTAAAAACTGTGTAAGTCTCTATGGCATTTGTTGTTGCCTTTTGTTTTCCTGAGACTGTGTCTTACTATAGAGCCCAAATAGATCTTGAACTCAGGATTTAGTTTTCTGGGCACTTCATAGGTGTGGGGCACAGAGTATAACACCCCCCCACACCTCAAACTGGCTTTGAATACCTAGGCTCAACCATTTCTCCGGCTTCAGACTCGGAGGAGTACTGGGACTAGCTGTGTACACCACCACACCACACTCTGTTGTATGTCTCCTGTCTTTTCAGTAGATGCCCTGGAGTAACAGTAACAACCGTCTACTGGTCACTATGTTCCTGCTTGACTCTGCACTTACTAAGTGGTTTGTTTTTCCATTTAATGTTCCAAACCCTGAGGAATTAAAGTCACCAAGATACTGACATGGAAACTGGATTAAGCATAGTCAGTAGCCATAGGCCTCTTGTCTTGAGCCAGGAGTCCTACCTAGCCCTAAGTTTTCCTAACTCCAGTTCTCTATACCCTCAAGAGAGCGGCAATGCTGCACCACTGCTGAAGTCCCTCCAGTGGTCTACAGCACCAACAACAGCCAGCCTTCTTAGTGAGGTGGCTGTCTCAGCAAGGAGGGATCTTCTTAGCTCAATACTGGTGTTTACTGAGTGCACCAGTAAGGTTCACACCTCCTGCATAGCTGGCTGAACAAGAGATATGTTACCAGCACCACTTAGCTTCTAGTTTTTTAAGAACACAGAGCCTCATTCTTTGTTTTACATCAGTTGACACTCACTGGGACCTGCACACCAGCAGCACTGTGTGTGCAGGACTGCCAGGGCCAATGAGCAGTTTCTTTATATAGATTCCTCCTGGCCCATATTTACTTAATGTTGTGTGTGTGTGATATTTATTTAATATTGTGTGTGTGTGTGTGTGTGTGTGTGTGTGTGTGTGTGTGTGTCCGGGCGTGCGCTCGCCCAGGTGCCTACAGAGGTCAGAAGCATAGGAGCTGGAGTTACAATGTTGCCTCTGCTGAATTGAAAGCATGCACTCTTAACCCAGGAACCCATCCCTCCCAGCCTCCCCACACTCACTTTGTGTTTTTTTTTTTTGTTTTAGAGACAGCTGGCCTTAAGCTCACTACATAGCCCACCCCATCCTTGAACTTGATGGAGCTACCCCCCCCCCTCCAAGCACCCTGGTTTCCTGAGTGCTGGGAACCTGTTTTTTTTTTTTTTTTAATTCTTCCTTATTGTTCTGTGGTTACTGATAATCTGGCCATTGACTCTGAATTTTTTAAGACCTCTTTTCAAACCCTCCCCTCAATCCTGTGACCAGTCTTTTGTCTCTTTGGCAGACACCTTTTCCTGTTTTTATGAACAGGTCTCCTTTGAGTTTGAGTCTAGCACAGACTCAGATCTTCAAGAGCTTAAGGGGAGATGATGAGCTCATGACAGTAACGCCGAGACTGGGCTCTGTGCTGAAGGACAGGCAGATAGACAGAACCACAGAGTTCAAGAAGGACCAGAGCGTTTGGGGTTTATTGTCCTGTTTTCTGGGTGCGGGGCACCAAACAGGGTCCTGCAAGGTCCAAGGGGCCAGTGCCAGACAGCATCTTTCTCATCCTCATAGCACGGCTAGGCCAGGAGCCTCAAAGGAGTGATGGAGAGGCCTCTCCTTTTTCTGGCTGCCAGGAGGGGAGCTCTGCTATTAGCTATGTGCTCTGCAGAGGGGGGAGAAGTGAGAAGAAGGAAGTGGGAGAAGAGAGGAGAGGGTGAGATTAGCTGCTTCAAACAAGTGCTGTCAGTGATCTATATTTGCTTACAGAATGAAAAATGTGTGCCATAAACATTGGCCACTGAGTAATTTCTAGTAGGAGTCGTGTCACTTCTCATAAAGCATGGGGTGGGGACAGGTAGGACATGTCTGCACCTGGGCCAGCCAGCACAGGGGCTTCCTTCTACAGTGGTGCCAGGCCTTGGCTCCAGTCCAGCAGACTCTCAGGTCAGGCGGGGTTCTCCAAGGTTCTGGAGCCTCAGGGCAGCACATCTGCCCCACTTTAGGAAGGCTGAGGCGGGGGCACCTGGATAATGTCCATCCAATATTACTCCCCCCAGACTCTGACCCTCCCTCTGACTTGACTAATTGCTCTAATAATTGATAGAACCTGACTTCTACCACTGATCGATTTCACCTTCAAGACCAACGGCCACAAACCATTACACTCCAATAAATAACCACGCTGGGCCTCACCCGGCTGCCCTCTCCGGGGGCATCAGGATGGCCCGTGCCCTGGCCTGACCTCCCCTTGCCTCCCACCCAGGGCCCCTCCAGGCCAAGCAGCTGGTCTAGAGGGCCAGGCTTCTGGGAGCAAGTGAGAGGGCTGAAAGGAGGTGGGAGCACTAATCGCAGGCCATCCGTCACCTCCCACTGGCTGTCTGGGGCTGGGGCAAACACCTGGAGCACCCTAGGCAGTGTGGTGCAGGACCCCTCCTTCTCCTGCTCCAGATTAGTTGTCCCAGCTTATAATATTTGATAAATAGCAGCCTGGCTTCCTGGCAGTGCGGCTGCGGCTGCGCCTGCCCGCTACAGCTGTGGAAGGTCACTCATTGGGGAAATATGTTTCTGTCAGTGGTATTGAAAAAAGTTTAGTGGAGTGACAGGCCTCAATTTTTCAAATTTTATTAACTCCATCCTCTTAACCATTTGTCTTGAATTCCTTCAGATTCTGGGGGATCTGTCAATAAGGATTGGGCCCAGAAAGTAGGGTAGGGGTGCTTGGGTGGGTAAGGAGCTGGTGCTGGTTGGTGCTGCTGTGACTGGCTGGGATCTCTCTGCTCAGGTAGATGAAGATAGTGGAAGGGGCACTGGTGGGGAGGCC